TCAGCAGTCAAACATCCAGCCCTATCTGGATGCCACTTCTTTTCCAAATCCTTTCAAATGCAGCCTAAGGGGTTACTATTGACTTTAAAAGCAGGGGAGGGGGCTGATTCAACAAAAACAACTAAGCACTTAATAACGTTAAACACATGCTCAAGTCTCTTCCTATTCAACAAAACAGTTGAGCACTTACTTCACCCTTCTTAGATGGCCCAGAACCAAAACACAGAGTTCTCAGAATTTCTCCAACCTTTATTTAATTTTAGCGGAGGGACAGGAATTTGAACCTTGATCCATGTTTTGCAAAGGGTCCCTATTTGCAAGTGAGTCAGACTCCGGATCCAGACCTACACACCCAAATGTTGGCACGTTCATGTTTTGGACTGGGATCTGATTTTTTCAGCTTGTGAGATCAGAGTGAGAACTCCGATCCATGCATATGCTCATTAAAGAGTTTGAATTGCAGGCAGGGAGCTGTTAAACCGTGTTTCTGTGCATGGTTTAAACTGATGATGCTTCCCCCAACTCCACCTACCTGAGGTGCAAAAGCAAGCCACCACCTCAGTGTGCACTGTGCAGATGCTCAGCCCGCGAGCGTGCAGGATTTGCAGAGCTCCTCAAATTTGGCTGCTCTTTCACAAGTCTAAACCCACCACAGCACAGCTCTGTAGCCCCATTCCCAGAGTCATGTGAGATCTTCAGACTCTTGGCTAGTATTAAAATACCGTAGAGCGTTCACTTAGCGGTTGCAAAGAGAAAGTGCGAACGGAGAGAGCAAGGCGTGCCGCGGCCCGCTGGGGGATGCCGCAGAGGAAGGGGGACTGAGAGCCAAGGAGAAAGCGCCTAGCCCAGCAGCCAGAGACTCAGTCTGCCTCCAAGCTATTGTTTGGGGCTTTCGGCAGACCGAGGCAAATGTCACCGCAGTGGTTTGCACACATTTCAAAATGTCACTGCTTCCTCCGACACCTTCTTCTTTTTCCCTTTTTTTTTCGGTTTGCTCTTTTCACAAAAACTGAGACTCTCCAGAGCAAACCAGCAGGCAGCAGCAAAACTAGCAGGCAAAAAAAAAGAAAAAAGAAATACAAATAAAAACATCTGAGCCACGTGGCCAAATCCAAGCCGTCTTCCTGTCTCCCACCAGTGCCAGTCGCATCTCAGCACATGGAGCTCAACCCTTCTCGCTGGCTCTGTCAAGGCAGCGCCGGGGCTGCTGGCAGCACAGAATAAAGCTGCAAAATAAAAGGCCAGACTCATTCCAGGGAGATGGAAAACAAATCGACTGCCAATTGTCTGGGTGAGCAGGGGAAGTCAGGGGATGCTCAGACATCTAAGGCAGCAGGAGGATGCGAGCATCCTTCCATAGACGTTATCAGTTGCCTGGAGGAGGAAGAAAATTAACCTGGTTTGAGGGGGGAAAAAGGGCAGACTTCAAATAGTCACATCATGGGCCGGCCAGGAAGAGCATCACTGGAGGGTTTGATCATTAAATGGTTGCCCACAGCACAAGGGAAGGAGGAAGGAGCATCTAGCCCAGGGCTATAGGGTCTGTAAGGAGGTCGCTCCGAGGAACAAAAGGCCCAGTGAGCCAGCGCCACTTCCTCGAAGATGCAGCAGCGGGAGGGACTGGCTCCCTCCCCCTCCGCCTGCTTCCCACCACCGCTGCCGGGACGCCTGCAGACATCCAGAGAAACAGGCCGTGTCCTTGCCGGGCAGCCAGAGTCAAGGGGACTCGGATCCAGCACAAAGGCTAAGCATGAGACCAGCAGTGAAAGGAGACAGGGATGATGAATGCCTTGTGGGCAATCCCAGAAGGGTGAAACCCTGCCTTAAACCTGCCGTCTTAACCGCCTTCCCCACTATGCCTACGCTGCTCTGAAAAAAAAGCGCTGGGCATCCTTCATCCCAGCTGCAGATAAGGCACCTCCGTAAAGGCCCAGCCTTGCTGAGCGGGAAGCAGAGATGGGGAGATAGTCATCCGCCCAGGCTAAAGCACAGGCATGAGGCCAGAGTAGTAGAGGCTTACGTACTAGTAAGACTAGTAAGACTGACAAGTAGACTGACTTACCAGTCACCGTCTGGCACTAGTGCTATGAGATCATGCCTCCTGGGAAAGAGCAGACTAGGGCAAACCTGAAGGAAAAAATATCAACAACCTCTACTTCCAGCCCAGGAGCACTCTGAGAGCCTGTTGCGCTCGGCGGGGCTCAGCCGCGGCGGCTGCAAATGGGGCTGTCAGCTGCCTCTCCGCGTCTCCGGTCGCGGTGCCACGGTGCACTGGCTCCGCGGGTGATTTCCCAGCCCCTGCGAGTGGACGACCTCCTGGTGCAAGGAGCTTCCCGAATCACCCTACCGTGTTGCAAGGGACAAACACAGCATCCTGCACCACCGCGATGAGGCAAGAGTTTATCTTTTCTGGACAGACCTACTAAAGCACTAACCACTGCCCATTTGAGAAGACGATGGAGCGTTGGGGAGGGCTTGGTGCCAGGTATTGGAGCAATAACAAGGGTTTGGCTCCTGGGTGTCACTCGCTGCCCTAAAAGCCATTCCCTGCTGTGAAGTCAGAGCGAAGTAAGAGGTGGGGAGCAGACGGACTCAGCCCAAGAGGCACATCCAGTCCAAGGGCTGCTGGCCAGATTGCCTTGACCTGCCCAGAGCTTCCCCACCGCTCCCCGGATCGCAGGCCATTCCCAAGTGGGTACACCAATGTTAGATGGGGTGCACCCCCCCGGGTGTATCCCAGCAGGTGTTGCCCTAGCACTTAGACCCCTAGGTACCTTACCGACAAACACGGGGCTGTACGAAGCCCAGCCGATCAACACTGGCTTAGCTGAGAAGCACAGAAAAGGCACCAAAGGCTTGTCCTTCCCAGCCACCCCCAGCAGTTCGTCCTGGGGACTTTTTAACTCAACTGACATAAAACATCTTTCCCTTCTGTCCCTTAGCACATGCCCTGGCTTATTTTCTGTACCACAATTGCAGAGACCATCAGAAACCTATGGCCCCTGGAGAGCAGGAGATGCCTACTGCAGCCACCCTGGGAGATTTATGAGGGCAGCAAGCTCTTGGTTTCCCTGGTCACCCTCCGAGGATTTATAGCCCAGTGCTCTGGGAGCGAACAAAGACCTGCTGTTCGTCATCAGAGACCTTATGATTCTGCCTATGGGGAGGAGGCTTCAAACACAGATAACCTTTGCAAGGAGAAATGGCCATTCCTGGATGTAACGCTAGAGATAGGCAGAATGAAAAGCATCCGTAGTGCTCTGGAAAATCTCAGAAAGTGACGCCGAGAGTTTGCATTATTTGCTCGGCTGGAGAAGAAGGGTTAGTGGTGGGGCAGCGGGAGGAGGAAAGGAAGTCGGGAGCAAAGTTTGTTCATGTAAATTTGCCTTCTGGGCTGATTTTCTCTTGGATGTGATACAATTAAAAGTTGCTTCTGCTCAGGACTCCTATTCCAGCTCCTTATCTACAGAGCACACAGGGCCTTGAGGCCTGGACCAGTAGCCTGGGACTGCAGTTTTGAGGGGGCTAGAAGACACTTGGGGGCAGCTTTCAGAGTACAAGGGCTGGCCCGTTTTGAAAGGCTTCCCTAGAGCCCGCGCGCTTTGCCCCTCCGGCTGTGCTGGGGCACTGATCTCCCTGTGAGCAAGAGCGCTCCCGGCAGTGCTTCCTAAACAACTCTGCTGCAGGACTGCGACCCGGCTGCTTTTCCTCCCAGCTGGCGCTCCAGGATGAAATGCCTGGCAGGACACTGGCCCACCGCTGAGATACTTGATGCTGTTAACGGAGCTGAGCGCGAGTCGCACACCGCTGTTTGCGGTACCCCCGGCACTGGTGTCAGCGAAGGAGCAAGGACTGCAAACAGTCATTACTATGCAGATTTCAAAGAGAGGTCCATCTGCCTTTCGTTTCTGCTCAGTCTGTTTGCTTGCCTCTTCACAGCACAAAGTGGAGCTCTTCCTTAGCTCTTAAATTAGCAGGGGAAGCAGGAATTTGTTGTGGTACTAATTGTTATATGCAGGTTTTTTTGAGAACGGTAACACCACCCGCTGGGACTGAGGATGCTGCGGCTCGGTAGGCGGCTTCCTGGACGAGTATATCCAGAAAGCAGCAAAATTCCTGTTCTAATTAAAAGGAAATCTCTGAGACAAGCTTTTCCATGAGGGAAAGAAACAGGCAAGGTAAAGCAAGTCAGCACGTCTAATGCATATATTACCACTAAAGACATGGAAATTAATTGGATTTATTGCCAGTCACAGCTGCAAAGATGGCTCATTTCTAAGTTTGTTTTACAGAAAGTGGCGGGACGAGTGGGACTTAATAGTCATCTCGGTTAAGCTAATGAGCCAAGACTAACGGTCTCGTCTTGTTTAGAGAGGCCCCAGTTCGGCAGAGCACCTAAGCACGTGTGTGCAGCTCTCGCTTTGCTTTCCGAGGGATGCTTTGCATCTGCTGGTGTGCGCTGGTGAGCAGGACGCTTACCGGGCAGCTGCTTAAAGTTCGGGGGGGAGAGGAGGCGTTTTGCCGAGTGGGAGTCAAAAATTCAGCGAGATGGTCAGTTAGGATTTCCCAGAGGTTATCGCTTTAGTCCAGGAGAGAGGAAAGGACTTCAGAGAAAAGAAGACAGAGGGGAATCAAGTGTCATGTGGCGTTCCCTGTTCTCGTTAACTCTTATCTTATACTCTCCCAAACCCAGCAGAGAGTAATCTTTGGGGAGGGGGGTGGTTTTCTGCTATTTTAAAAAGCTGAACTCGCTTTCCAAAGGGTCCGGTGCAAGGAAAGCCGTAGCGACCTGGCGATGGCTCCAGACAGGCAGCGCACCGAGACGGGGAGGCAGGAGCCCAGCAGCAGCTGGATCCCTGCCACTGGTGACACTAAATCACGGCCTCTCTCAGGTTTTCGAGGCCACGTCCCTTGAAAGGATGCTGAAAAAGTGTCCCAATTAGCTTTCGGAGATCCCGCCTCTCCTGAAGGCGAAGAAGGCCAGAAGGCTTTCGATGCGAAAGCTGACGGTGGAAGTGGCAAGATGGGTGTCGTTTGCAGAGCGCTTACCTCCGCTCTCCACGCGCGGGGCTGGAGGATTTCAGTCGCTTCCGTCCCAAAACGGACCACAATTTTCTAAGGGCAAGACAGGCTGCCCGAGGCAGGAAGGTGTTAGGCTGACTACAAAGGGAAAGGTGCAAAGAGGGAACAAATGGAAACTCATTTGGCACATAATGAAGCTGCTGAGAACAAAATTAATCAAAGCACTGAAGGAAAGGGAGAGAAGAAATTCTTTTATCACCTCTCCACCAAAGGCAGGTCCTGGCTAATAAACACAAGGAATCGCTCCTGTACGGGCAGAAACGTGGCCTAGCTGGAAGCCGGCGGGAAGCTGATTGGAGAGTTAAAACCAAGGCTTTTAGGAAGATTGAAGCGGGGAGAAGAAAAGGGAAGGGGGGGGGGGGGAGGAGCACTCGCGTCCAGAGCGTTGGCCTCAGTAGTGAATTAATCTGAAAATTGATGGCTCAATCATCTGAAGTAGGAGGCACAAAACAGAGCGACCAAAGCCGAGGGGAGGGAAACGGCCGGATTGCCACGGCGGGGGGGACTTCAGACGGAGCGAATGCTGCGGGAGCGCTGCCTCCAGCCCTGAAGCAGCCTCCCAGGTCGTAAAGATGATGGTGATTATTTCCTGTCTCCAAAGGACTCTCCCATCCAGCCGGGCAGGGGTGCGCATTAGGACCCTTTTGCCTTGGCAGATACAGAGGATTTTGATCACCGGACTGAAAACGCACAGCAGCTTCGGTGGGAAGTGATTGCCGTTTGAAAACATGTGCTATGTGCAGAGGGACTAAAATCAAACCCGGTGAGGTATGGCCTTGCCGCTCTCCTGGGATACTGCTACCAACCTGAAAACAATCATGAGCCAAATCAGCTCAGAGAAGGGATTTAAACCGAAAAACAAGACCGGTGATTGGGGAATATTGAAGAACATTTCTCTATATCGACCAAAAGCCGCATTCCCACAATAGAGAAAGACTACTGCGTTGGTTAACACAACCCCTTCTTCACCAACAGGAGTGCACGCTGCTGCAAAAACAAAAACAAATATCCTATATGGAACAAATGGGGAAAAGGGAAGCTGACAGCAGTGAATATATATCAGAAGGTGGGAACTGTAGATCATCCATATGGGGAAAAAAGGGAGACAAGAGGCAGGTGATAGCCAAGAGATTTAGGACAATTGCAATATTTTTTTTTAAGAACAGGAGAACAGAAAGAAATATCTTCCATGCAGGTGGGCAATAACCCTGCAGAAAATTCAGTGATATTCAAGAAACGGTTTTGGTGCGTGTCTTTCGAGAAAGGCCAGATGGTGAGTTTACATCACGTGAGGCTGATGAGATACTTTTCACTGCAGTGATAACTACAGTGATCGTTAGACAACCGCTAGATATTTTTAAATCGATGTGCTCGTACAACCTCCGACCCAGCAGAATTGTCTCTAGGAGGCTTTTTCCTTAAAATTTCCCATTGTTGCTCTGCTGATATGAGCCGCACTGGGCGTTTTGGTGCAGGGGCTGAGCCAAAGACCGGGTGATGCAAGGTGTAAAACCCCGGGAGGAGCCTTCCAAGAAAACTCTCCCATACCGCCACGGGTGAATACGAGGCAGCAGCACCGGCAAACAGATCCTCTCGTCCTGGTGGAGAGCAGTGGGGTTCACCTCCTGGAGCACCGAGGTTAAGTGTCGGGAGGAGCCCGCGTTGCGGGGTGCGTGGACGGCCGGGCACAGCCCAGGAGCGCGGGAAGGGCCAGGGCTTTGGGCAGGACAGGACCTGGCTGACGCATCCCCTCTGCTCCTGGGCTGGGACTCACCGCTCAGTCAAGCTTTCGCCTTTCCAGCCGGACGCCCCCAAACCCACTTCGTCTGCGTTCATTAACAGCCATCGCTTATTGCAAAGCTGGTTTATAAACTCCGTATACGTAATCCTCTGCCTCTTCCCTGCTGTTAAGCAGAGCTCCAGGCCTCCAGGGCGCTCCCAAAGCATCTTCAGCGTTGCCCGGAAAAGCAGCATTAGTCACTTAAACCTTTCACTGATCCAGAGGAAGGGGGAGCTCAGGGCAGCTGGATGAGCGTGCGGCAGGGCTCCCTTCCAGGGTCAGCCACCACTCGGGTCTCCACCTCCCTGTCCGAGCCCGGGCCGAACACCTTCCCGTGCTGGCAGCCCGACCCGTTTCGGGATGTGGAGAGCGGTGCTGGTTCAATGCACTGCTGCGTGCTGAGGCCATCCAGCTATCAACCCCCAAACGGCAGCTGCGTGGGAACGGCCCCATGGGAACGAACCCACGGGCCACTGCGCTCCCCAGGGAGGAGCTGGCCCACCCCACGCGCTCCTGGGACACGCGCAGAAGCACGAGGGGCATCTCCAGCTTCCAGGGTCTCAGGAGAGAAGCAACAGTACAGAAAGCGGCACAGATGTGCCGGCTTTGTGCAGCCTCGGCAAGACAAGTCTCTGACCGACGTCCGTACACACCCTCCTCCGCTTTCCCAGAAAACGCCCGTTACGCCACTGCAAAAAAAAAAAACCTCCTTCGGTTATTAACTGTTGACCAAAACGTCCTCCCGAGAGGTGGGAAAGAGCAGGAAAGCCCTGTGAGCCCAACCCCACCTGCCAGAGCCAGAGATGTGGTGCACCCAGCGCCAAGCAGTGATTGATGCAACACCAGCAAGCCGGAGCCAGTAAACTGAAGAAACCTGGCCTGAAGAAATAGCCTAAATCCCATAGGTTTATAGCTAGAGCCTCGCCTAAAACTTTAGGACAAAAAAAACCCAAAGAACAAAGCTACGTGCTTGGGAGTACCCACCATGCTCCACGGTGCTCCTGGCGACAGTATATCAGTCCTTATTAATAAGGATATTTATCAAGAGAGGAAGTCAATGGAATAATACACTCCAGATTCATTACTGTCAACCCGCTAAGAATTATGTGTATTAATGACCAGATTATATCTGTTTATATAATACAAATCACCATAGGGTGACTGCAGGCACTGAAACCCTCCTTGTCTGTTTGACGTACATAAATAACGGAGGAGCTCCTGCTGCATTCGGTACACATGCCTAACCTTTCATCCCGGGCATCCCGGTGCAGGCCGGCGAAACGACTCGGGTTTCAAATTCCTCGCTCCAGCTGTCATTAGCCTCGCAAAGCGATAGCGAATAGGCGGCTAATTGATGTACTTGTTGGACATTATTTTATTAGTCAGGCCTGGTGAGCATCAAATGGAATTTTAATGCCCTTCTATCCGTGGGTCGGTGAGGCCACAAGCGTTAAGGCTCGTAAATAATTAACCGTGCTCTAAGGGCAGTTTTAGGAAGAGGCAAGTAAGTTATTCGGTGGATGCAGGTTGCTCCAGCTGGCCTCGGCGCTGGGGCGGACGCGGGATCCTGAGCGAAATAACCTGCAAAAGAGCACAGATTTATCAGGCAGGGACAAAACGAAATATTTTTGCTTAGACTGAAATGAAATTTTGGGACTTCCCCCCCCCCTCCAAAATTTCCTTTTAAAAAGTACCCTTTTTCCTTTTTGTTTTTTTAACAACACTGGCAAGCGCGCAGGCGGCTGACACCCTCCGTACCCCATGGCACTTCGGCCCTTCCTCTCCCTCCTCTACCCGCCGGGGCAGGAACAGTCCCCTCCCGCGCGTGCGTATTCTGCATCCGCGCTCAGACGGGGCCTCGGAGGGGACAGCTCGGTGCAAACAATAAATCATCTAAACTAAAACTAGCATCTATCTTATGAGAGCCTTGCCGTGGTCCTGCTTCCGGGCAGCAGGAGCTGTCAGGGAGCCTAGCGAAAACGAGCGGAGAGCTTGGGCGCGCGGAGCCGCGCGCGCATTGGGCAATAATTATACTGTATATTAACTGCCTGGGTGTTGAAAGAGTCCCAGCACGAGATTGCTCGTCTAATAGGAGACCGAAGCGATAAAAGACAGTAATAGATTGCCTTTCAGATGTGGAATTAAAAGCAGCAACTCATTAGTTTTTCTTTTTTTCCCCCGCAGCCTCTAATCGCAAGCAGTTTCTTTTCCAGTCGGATTTCCATTTCCAAGGCTAAGCTCAGCAACACAAACAGAAGCTAAAGAGACGGGTGCTGTTCTGACCTTTCTGGCATCACTGGAGTAACATGCATTTAAAGTGCTTTTAGCTCGGCAGCGCTGCCCCAAGAGAGCGGGAGCCCGGGAGCCGGCCACCTCGGCAGCCCCCTGAAGGGACGCTCCTCAGAAGGTCAGGATTTGGCTGCTTCTGCTTCTGCTTCTTCTCCTTCTTCTTCTTCTCCCCCT